CCCCCCCCCCACACTGCAGCACAGGAAAGGACCTGCTGGGTCAGATTGTCCTCGGCGTTCCGATTGGTCGCTGCTCCACCCCCAATGCCCCAAGCTGGGGTTCCTGGATCCCTCACCCCCCGACATCTAGGTCTGAGCCCCCCTCGTGCTGCAGTGCCTGGTCTCACAGACGAGAGCCCCACTCCCCTGGGAGATCCAGTTCTCAACGGCCTGCTGCTGCGCGGGTTTCCTGCGGGGTGTCCTCCCCACCCGGCATGCTGGGGGTGTTGCGCTGACAGAGGCCCCCCCCCCCCTGGCTTTGGGAGGGCCGGGTGGCTTGGGGGTATTAAAATGCCCCCGAGCTTGCTGATGTGACCCATGTGACTGCACCCCCCCCCCTTTATCACCCCACCAGCAGGAGAGATCAAGGGTCAGGCGCTGAGAAGGGCCCTGGGGGGAGGGCTGGGGAGGCCGCCTTATAACACAGATCCAGAAACTCAGCATCTCGAATCCCTCTCCCGTCTGTGCCCCTCCTGCCCTCGAAAGATTCCAGGGCAAAGACCAAGCCGCTTGGCTGCATGCACAATATCTAGGGCAGGCCCCATGGCCCCGACCCCTCCTCCAGCAAGTGTTGCTTCAGCAGAGATGTGCCCCCCCCCACCGTGTCACATTCAGCATAGACCCCTCCGAGTTGTAATAACTGCACGTGCGGCCCTTCTCTTACTCGCCGCGCACTGTGCAAAGGTGGGAGCGTTGCCCCAGCTCAGAGATGGGGAAACTGAGGCAGGGAACGAGCACAGGGCTGGGCCAACAACCAGCTCTTCCAAGGGCTGGGGCCACACGCTGCCCACTAGGCAATGCTGCTTTTGGATTGGGCACAGCTGCAGCCGAACTATTTAACGGCCGGGTGCAGCTGGGTTTGTTTGCTCACACCCCAGATGCCACTAGCCAGTCCTGGGGGCGTTTCTACTGAAATGCTCTGGTTTCAGGCCCCGGACAAGGGTTCAGCGCTGGGTTCAGGCCGCCCACTCCACTGCCAGCTCCCCACCGTGTCCTCAGCCGGCACAGTATCGCCCCGTGCCTCAGTTTCCCCATCCATCCGACAAAGACAGCAAGACCCCATCCTGCGTCTGCCTGGTTTATTTTGGGCTGGCTCACCGGGCCACCGCGTGTCCGTGGTGGGCCCCCGCCGCTACTGTCACACGCACAACGCACGTGCACCATGGGGGCCTGTGCCAAAGCCTGGGGGAGCTGGTGCACAAACAGGGATCAAAGGCAGCAGGAGCTTTGCCTGATCAAAGCCCACGGGAAGAGCCACATTCCTCCGCTTAGCAAAGCGCTTTGAGAGCAAACTGGCCCCTGCCAGCCTGGAAACCAGCCGGGGAGGGGGGCCAGCTCGATCCTGGCCTGATGAGTGACGGTTGCATCCCGGGTGTCAAGGGGTTAACCCCCCTCCCCCCCCCAGCATCGTGGGAACAGGGAGATTGTTTTATATTTCCACAGTGCCAGCCCCAACTGTGAGCGGGCGGCCCCCGCCTAGACACCGTGTTTTGCAGACGGACTCCTCAAGGCCAGGGTGGGAGGGGGAGGTGTTGATGGGGGGGGGGCGGGACTCAGGTGCCAAGCGGTTTCCTCCCTCCCGCCCGCTGCAGGGCTAGAAATGGCTG